TTCCTAAGAAGCAAAAAAAAAAAAAAAAAAAGGAGAAAAAAGGTTGGAAAATTATTTATTAAAAATTATATTATTTTAGGACAGTTTGTCAGACTTAGTCACTGGGCGGCAAAAGGTCAGCAGCTGCTTTGGCAGGGGCAAGGAGCTCAGCTCCTGAGAGTATTCATCTTCAGACTATGGGTGGCTTAAAGCTGAATGAGCTTTCCTTGCAGTGAAGGGGTTAAATGCATAATTCCTTTCACCCCTACCTGGATCTCCCAAAGGTTGAGGCATGAGTTAGTGGCTGGCCCATGTGAGCTGACTCCACCGTCCTCTTGGCAGTAGTTTCATCATAACTCAGCCTCAGCTTTAAATTAAAAGCCACTAAAGGCCCATACTTCTTGATGTGAACCATGGTTTGGAAAGATATGGGTTGTCTATGTGTGCCCATGCCCATGGTGACAGACCCAAGCTCTCATGTCTTTGACTTTGAAAGCCATTTGAGACCTAGGAAACGTCTCCAGGGCAGTGTGATCTGTACTTTGTCAAAACGAAGTTTTTGCTCAGGAGCCTAGTGATGGTTGTGATTTGCCTTGTTACTACAGTTTCTCCAAGAAGGCAGGACTTCCTGCTTCAGCAAAACAGTGTAACTCTGAAATCTAGTGATAGTTGGAGAGCAACCCTGCCATGAACCCTTTGGCTGTTTTTTAAAATACAGGAGGTACATTGAGGGGCACTCTGCACTATTTCCCATTAGGTGCATCATTAATGTTGGTGGGGGCTGGGTCAGGGTGCTGGGTTGTGGGGCAGGTTTATGGGGCAAGTAGTGAGGGCAGGGCAGCATCAGAGGTTGAAAGTGAAAAGGGCAGGGTGGGGGAGTATGGGTAGGGACAGGCCTGAAGAGACTGTCGGGAAGGGAGGGCGAGTCATACCTGATGGTGGTTGTTTGTACTTCAGATGGGGAGACTGGATTCATTGCTGGAGGGAGGTGGGAGTCTGTTTGTTGCTGGCATCAGCTGCAGGGCAAGGCTTAGAGCTGGCTTGGGGAAGGTGGAGATAACTGGTGCTGGAGATAAGCTCAGGGTAGGGGTTGGGATAGGTTGGGGCTGGGGCCAGTTGCTGGTATCAGGGAGGTGTCTAGGTCAGGGTTGAGGGTGAAGTTAGTCACAGACATGAGGTGTGAAGCCAGGGAGGGTCAGGGTTAAACTAGGGGCTGGGGTGGTGGGGGATGCAGAGTCAATGACTGGAATTGGTACATGGCCAGGAAGGGGTCTGGCACTAGAGACGAAGTAATGGTTGGGCTGGGGGCCATGGATCAGTGGTTGATGTCAGGTTAGATCAATATAGCAGTAGCAGGACTAGGGGGTCAGTTAAAAGCACTGTGGTAAAGTCAGGGGAGCGAGGGAAGAAGAAGGGGGTCATGGGGCAGTAAGGATAGGCCGAGGGTTGTTGGGATGGAGCCTGGGATGCTGTGGCACCCCTAACTGTGAAAGTGGTAAGGGTGGAGTGCACTGGGGGGGCAGCTGGCATGGAAAGACCCATAAGCATGCAGGCTAGAGCAGGGCTGTGGCTGCACTGGCAGGCGGCTCAGCCTTTCCAGGTCATGTAATTCTCTTCGTGAAATATTCATGGCCACTCAGCCCAGATGTTATTTCAGAACAGCAGGGAGGGAGTGCGAGGACTCACAAAGGAGACTCACCCATGACAACAAAGAGCTCAACTGTGCACGCTTGACGCACACATGCACACTGCCTGGGATGAGCCCTTCAAATGCACCTTCCCACAGACACACACCAACACCCCGGCATGGATTCAGAGCATGCCCAGACTAACCACACCCTCAGTACACTTTGGAAGAAGTGCAGAACAGGGCACACATTCTGCATGCGCGCGCACACACGTGCCACCCACCAAGACAGGACTCATCTCATGTAACTGCACACGTATATGGAAAGCCCGACCCATACACGCACCTCAGCATAAACAGATCAGTGTATGCATAAGCCCACAGACTTTACGCCAGGAATGGCCAACCTGTGCCACGTATGCCATAAGGAGGGGAAGGGGATTGGAGTGGCTATCAGGGAGTGTGTGTGTCTAATTTATGACATGCCTACCAAAAAGATTGGCCTGCACTGCTCTACACAATGCACCCCCAGGCCTGTACATATAGTGAGATGGCACTTCCTCTGTTTCCTGGGTCCTCTCCTTTCTATGCCCTGGGTGGCAGGGGGTACTGTGTATCCTCTTGTATCCACAGACACCCGAGGCACGGAGAGGGGACGTGATTTACCTGAGTTCATGGAGCAAGTCTATGATGGATCTGGACATAGAAAGAAGTGTCTCTGGCAGGTGCCTTGATGACTAGGTTGCCCTTTGGGAGCATGTTGGAACCAGGGCTGGGAAAATTCTGCACCCGGGTGCATAAGCTTAGCTCTGACCTCTCAGGGATGCTGTGTGACAAGGGTGCACCTTATCTTCCATGCATACAAGCAACACTTATGCACAGAGTACTTCCAGAGCTCTGCTCGCAGTCCCAGGCCTTTCAGGAGACAGGAGTTTTGTGGTTATCCCTCCAAATTCTAGTAGGTCAGAGGGGCCTCAATAGATTGTAAACCAGCAGGTTGCATAGGACTGGCTCTCAGCAGCTGCACAAAGCTTCAGCCTCATTGTTCCATGTGCCTGAGACTTTGCAGCCTCCACCCACAGCTCTGAGATGAGTGAGACCCACCTCTGCATGTGGCATGGTTAATTCTTGAGTCTGATGATGACATCCATGGAATATGTTTTGGCTGACTGGCAGTAGCAGAGGGCAGATGAAGAGCAGCCTGTTCTGGTGGGGGGTTGTTTCCCTATCAGGGCTTGGGTACTGAGCTGCTGCTGCCTCCACAGCCAACCCTGATTAGGGTCCCAGGGGATACACAGGCAGGGCATGTGCAGCAAAATTGGGATTACATATTCAGCTAGAGGAAGGAGCAGTCAACTTTGGGGGATGGCACTTTAAATTCAGGTCTGGAAGGGGAGAGAAGACCAGGCCAGTAGGTCCCCATGAGCCAGCATCTACTGGAAAGCAACAAGCTGCCCTCATCAGGAGCTCTGGGCTAGTAGCCCCCCGAACCCAGGCCCTGTGGCAGCATTATAACCCACTCTGCCCAGTGTACCCACCCTGCTGTCCCCTCCAGCCTAACCACAGGGAGAATGAACCCAGTTGCTCAGGAGGAGGCCATCATTGCCTGTTCCCTGTCCTGGGAGCTGTATTGTCATATGTGGCTGTGCAGTGGAGGTGGGGGCTTTAGGCACCAGGCGATGACAGTGCCCCATAGAAAGGCTTCTCACAAAAAGAATGAATGGGACACAGGCCAAGATACCTCAGAAGAAGCTGGCCACGTGGCCCAGTGGCAACAGCCTCACAATACCTGAGCTCTATTCATGGTATCACTACTGACGTCACTTCACTGCTCCAGGCCTCTGTCTCAACAGCTGCCCCTGCAGATCCTGTGCTTTTGGAGCAGCCAGCCTGCCAGCATAGGACCCACTAACCTCTCCTGACCCCTGGAGAGGTCAGGGTGCCATTCACAGCTGGAGGGTCTGCAGGGTGCTGTCATAAGCTCCACGGTGCCTTAGCAGATGGAGATTCTCAAGTGGCTCTGTGGCAGAAGGGGATGTTGGTGGAGCAGGGGAGCTGGCGCCCTGTGGGAGTTGGGGTCTAGCAGTGAGTTTTCAGGGGGCTGAGAAGTGGAGGTGCATGTGGACACTGACAGTAGGCTGTTTCATGCCAGCTGGCACTGTTTCGCTAGGGGCTGCTTCAACCCACAGGAAAACACCTCCAGCCAGCTGGGGATATCACTGGGGGAGGTCCTGCCCAGGCCCCCAGCGTGGCTGGCTGGGGCTCTGTCCCCAGGCAGAGCCAGGCTTATGCCCCTAGTGCTCTGCCTGGCACTGCTCCAGCTCCCACCCCTTCCCAGCCCTGCATATAGCAGTGTGGAGCCCCAGGCTGACATCACAGCACTCACTGACCCACTTTCCAGCCACTCAGCCCCAGAGATAATGCCGGGCTGGAGGCAAGGGAGCAACACACACACACACAGAGCATGCCCAGCACCACACAGCATACAACCACACCCACACACCAATACCATTCAGCACTACACAGCACATTACACATGCATGGAGTGCATGCATCACCACACACACATCACCAGCACCATACAGAGCACAACACATAGCACTACATACCTCCATGCATAGGGCATGGAGCGAGGGGGCACACAAAGCACCACATACACAGGGTATGTACAAGACCATACAGAGACACACACCACCACTTATGCAGCAACACACACACATGCAACAGGGTATTTGCAGCGTGCACATACACACACACACAGAGCACCATACAGCACATACAGGGTATATATAGCACCACACAGAGAGAAATACACGGAGCACAACACATGCATGAGGCACTCACAGCATCACATAGCAGCATGCCCATACACGGATCACATAGCACATCACACACGCCCACAGAGCACAACACACAGACAAATACATAGGTTATGCACAATACAATACAGTACTACACACAAACAGCACAGCAACATACTGTACAGGGCACTAAGCACACACAAGCACATTCACCTGGGGTATGCACAGCACAATGCACACAGCAGAACGAAGCACCATGAAGCATACAGCACAACACAGCAACACACACAGCACCATATGCATGTAAACAGCACAATGCAGCAAAGCACCAACGCAACACAA